GGGGAGAGACTCGGCGGGCTGCCGCGGCGACTCTCCCGTCACCAAGAACGCGTCGCGGACGCTCGGTGCTTGAGCCAGAATGGCTTGAGCCAAAATGGCTACGGACGGACCAGGAGGAGGAGCAGGAGCAGGAGGTGGAGAAGGAGGAGGAGGAGGAGGAGGAGGAGGAGGAGGAGGGGGGTTATGGGGGAGGGCAGGGGGGGGAGAGGAGGAGCAAGAGGATGAGTCGCAGGAGGAGGAGGAGGAGCAGGAGAAGCAGGAGGAGCAGGAGGAGCAGCAACAGCAGCAACAGCAGCAGGTGCAGGAGGACCAGGGGAAGGAAGGGGAGGAGCAGGAGGGAGGAGCAGAGGAGGAGGAGAAGAGGAGGAGGAGGAGGAGGAGGAGGGAGGAGGAGGAGGGAGGACGACGACGACGACGACGCAGAGGAGGGGCCCCCCCCCCACCCGACCTTCCTCCTCCTCCTCCTCCTCCTCCGGACTCGTCTTCGTCCTCGTCTTCCTCGTCCTCGCCTCCTCCTCCTCCTCCTCCTCCTCCTCCTCCTGCTCCTCCTCCTCCTCCTGCTCCTCCTCTCCTCCTCCTCTCCTCCTCCTCCTCCTCCTCCTCCTCCTCCTCCCCGTCCTAAACCTCCTCCTTTTCCTCCTTCCTCCTCCTCCTCCTGTTCCTCCTGTTCCTCCTGTTCCTCCTCCTCCTCCTCCGTCCTCCCTCCTCCTCCTCCTCCTCCTCCTCCTCCCCCTCCTCCTCCTCCTCCTCTCCTCCTCCCTCCTTCCTCCTCCTCCTCCTCCTCCTCCTCTCTCCTCCTCCTGCTCCTCCTCCTGCTCCTCCTCCTCCTGCTCCTCCTCCTCCTCCTCCTCCTCCTCCTCCTCCTCCTCCTCCTCCTTCTCCTCCCCCTGCTCGTCCTCATCGTTCTCCTCCTCCTTGTCCTCGTCCTGCTTCTCCTTCCCGTCCTTTGAGCTCTGTGACAGGTCTTTGGCTCGGTTGTGGGACGACGAGACGCAATCAGCAGTGTTGAGACCGCCCCCGGCGACCGCAAAGGCCCCCAGGCCTCTCTCGTGGCCCTAATCGGCCGTGTTGGGGTGTTCGGGGCTCCTCGCTGGCGCCGCTTCAGCCGTCGGGGTGCCCTCTGGTGCCGTCATGGGGCACGGTTGGGAGCCTCTGGGGCCGCAGCGGGGCAGCCTTGGGGACCTCTTGGACGAGCTTGCGCCGTCGAGAAACAAAACAGGTTGTGCGGCCAGAAACCCATGTGGGCCTCTGGGGGCCCTTTGTGAGAAGCCTCCAGGAAGCCTCTTTTGCTGGCGAGGTGGCCTGGAGAGTTGCGAGCCCCAGGGGTCCGAACCACATCGGTCTGGGCGTCCTCTTGGGCCGCCGTGCAGCGTTGGGATGCAGATCCAGCTGGATGAGTGAAAACGTGGAAAAAACAACGGAAAAAGCAATGAGTAAAGCCTCAGAGCCCTCTGGGGAGGCCTTTTGGAAACATGCCGTGTCGACGAAGTCGCTCGGGGGGCTGTCTGCGATCGTCGGCGTCGCGCAGGCCTGGACGCGACTCTGGCGGCTCGTGGAACCTACTTGGGGGCGCTGGTCCTCCCATGCGGAGCCGTCTTGGATAACCACATCGGTCTGGACGTCCTCTTGGCCGTGCAGCGTGGGGGCGCAGAACAAGCTGGATGAGTGAACACGTAGAGAACAAGAAGTAAGGCCTCAGAGAGCCCTCCGAAGAGGCCTCTTGGAAGCATGCCGTGTCCACCACGTCGCTCGGGGGCCTGTCTTGGGGCGATCGTCGGCGTCGCAGGGATCTTGGAGCGCCCCTGGCCGCTCTGTGACCCTACTGGGGCGCGCCGATCCTCCCATGAGGAGCCATCTGGGGACAAGGTTGGGAGCGTCCGGGGCCGAACCGGGACAGTATGCAGAACAGGCTGCGTGGAGAAACGTGGAAAAAAACAATGGGAAAACCAAGTGTGTGAGCTTTGGGGAGCTCTACTCGCGGCCTCTGAGAAGCCTGTGGGAGACCTGGGGCGCCAGGCGGGAGCAGCCCCCGGAGCTCCCTGCAACCTCTTGGGGCTCTGGTGGCTCCGGGCCGGCGAAACCAGGTAAAAACACAGGGAAAGTAAGGCCCCGTGCCCCCTGGCTCTGGGTGGCCGAAACCGCATAGAAAATACAAAGAAAATAAGGCCCCAGGCCCCCCATTCTCCGCCGAAGTCCCTGGACGGGACCCCCCCGGCCACGTCCTCCGGGGCTCTGGTGGCTCCGGGTGGCCCAAACCTTGTAAAAACATAGAGAAAGTAAGGCCCCAGGCCCCCCATGCCCTGCCGAGGTCCCTAAGCGGGCCCCCCCGGCCACGTCCCCCGGTATATATATATATATATATATATATATATATATATATATATATATAGATATATAGATATATATATACATATACATATACATATATATAATATTAAATATATCCGCCGGCCCCCTTGCGGGGCCATCAGGCTGGGAGGCTTAAGCTTGCTGCTCCCTGCACCAGTTCCAGCTTCCAGTTTCCATTGTTACAGTACTGCTTTCTGCTTCCTACTGTAAGTTGTTACTGTCCGCGCGAGGGGGGAGCTGAAAACCCACCTTGTTAGCGTCCCCCGGGAGGGTTCTCAGAATTCCTGGGGGGGTAAAAATTTACACCTCACGCAGATCGGCAGGGTCAGGGTCCAAAAACACAAGGGATTTGTCACATTTCTGAAATTCGGTGGCACCCCTTACGCAGATCGGCGGGGTCAGGGTCCAACAACAAAAAGGATTTGCCATATTTCTGAAATGTCCTGGCACCCCTCACGCAAATCGACGGGGGCAGGGTCCAAAAACACAAAGGATTTGCCACATTTCTAAAATGTCCTGGCACCCCTCACGCAGATCGGCGGGGTCAGGGTCCAAAACACACACAGGATTTGCCGCATTTCTAAAATTCGGTGGCACTCCTCACGCAGATCGGCGGGGTCAGGGTCCAAAAACACAAAGGATTTGCCGCATGTTTGGCACCCCTCACGCAGATCGGCGGGGTCAGGGTCCAAAGACACAAAGGATTTGCCACATTTCTGACATTTCCTGCCACCCCTCATGCAGATCGGCGGGGTCAGGGTCCAAAAACAATGGGAAATTGCAACATTTCTGAAATTCGGTGGCACCCCTCACGCAGATCGGCGGGGTCAGGGTCCAAAAACACACGGGATTTTCCGTAGTTTTTAAATTCGGTGGCACCCTTCACACAGATCGGCGGGGTCAGGGTCCAAAAACACGCAGGATTCGCAACATTTCTGAAATTCGGTGGCACCCCTCACACAGATCGGCGGGGTCAGGGTCCAAAAACACATGGGATTTGAAACATTTCTGAAATTCGGTGGCACCCCTCAAGCAGATCCGTAGGGTCAGGGTCCAAAAACAGAAGGGATTTACCACATGTCTGAAATTCGGCGGCACCCCTCACGCAGATCGGCAGGGTCAGGGTCGAAAAACAAATAGGTCCCGACACTGCTTCACGGCAAAGCCAAAGCCTCATGACTTCGCTTTTCCATGGCCCATTCTCCGAGAGAGGGGGCCGGCGGCAAGGGGCGAAGTCCTTACGGATACACATCTCTCTCTCTCTCTCTCTCTCTCTCTATATATATAGATATGTGTGTATATATATATATATATACATATACACATATCTATATATATATATATACACACACGCACACCTCTTCTGTGCATCTGTCCCCACCTGCATCTCTGCCTCCGTGCCTCTGGCGCGCAGTGGGAAATCTTCAGGCCCTTACTGGGCCTTGGTAATTGAAATTCTTGCTGGCATGACCCTGAGACGCAACGACGCAAAATAAATACAACACAATGAGAAATCATGACCAGGTCCCTCGACCCCATCTTTCCGCTGCATTTATCAAACATGCAGGATTGATCAGAGAGGGCCCCAGGGCCAACCACCGGCCGAAGACACCCAGTCTCAGAGCTAGTGATGGAGAGCGAGGGGCCAGCTCAAGCGGGAATCATCACGCCAGATTCGGCGATTCATCGCCGATTGATCAGCGATAGGCCCCCGATGCGATAGGCCCCCGATGCATCCCCCCTTGAGCCTGTCCCACCCCTAAGACTACCTCTGAGTTAGCACCGATTCCGCCCTGACATAAGGAGGGATCTGGAAGAGTCCAGTCGCGCCCATTTTCGGCGTGTGCGGGCCAGAGGATCGAAGACATCCGAGATGGAGGTTCGACCTCCACTCTGGAGGCTTTTTTCCTTCATTCTTAATGTTGTGTTCCTCCAGAGGTCTGTTCCGTCCGACAGAGGCTCGACTTCCAATGCGAGGCGGTGATTTATTCATCACCAACGCCTGTGGGATCGTTCTTCGGGGACCTGGGCAGGCGGCGGTGGATACAGATGAAGTTGGCTCCCCCAGGACCCGAATATATCTATATTGCTGCCGAAATCCGCGAATGTCGATTCCCCAAGCGGTGGTTTTAGATGAACTCCCGCTTCGGATTAAAAGTGGAGGTACATATGGGATCCTCTGGGTCTGAGCTGGCACTGCCAGCCGTCACTCACCCCGCACCTGCAGAAGCAGAGGCAGCGGGAAGAGGGAGGAGGACCTGTTTTGCCGTCCACGGCCAACGACCAACGACCCCATCTTGATTCAGATGGGTGCAAAAAAACACCACGCGCACAGAGATCGACTGTAGCCAGAGAGTGAAGGCGAAGACGAGCAAATAGGAGGGGGGGACGAGGAGGAGGAGGAGGAGGGGGAGGAGGAAGAGGAGAAAGAGAAGAGGAGGAGGAGGAGGAGGAGGAGGAGGAGGAGGCGGGGCAGGAGGGGGAGGACATATTTTCGTGACGTGGGCCCCCGAGGCTCTTGAGCCCCTCCCTGGGACCCGCTTCCCATCGTTTTGTTGACGGCCCCAGGGCCCGCAACGGGCCTGTTAGACGTCGATTTTGTCGTGGCGCCGGATCTGAAGGGGGTCAGGAGGAGGGAAGAACAGCCCCTCTCAGTACAGCCACGGGAAGGGGTTGTGCGTGAGCACGGCCTGAGTGACGGCGCCGCCGAATCCGATCATGGCCAGGCGGCCGTTCTTGAGCTCGGCCAGGCGCAGCCGCTTCTGACCCTCCTCGTCCTTGGGCAGGAACTGGATCCCGAAGTTGTAGTCGCCCGCACACTCCACGGAGTTCCACTCGAAGACCTTCTTGGCGCAACACAGCTCCACGACCGAGATCCAAATGAGGATCTGGACATTGACGCCCACGCTCCCATTCAGCCGGTCGTGAGCATCGAGGACGCAGGGGACGGCCTCGAAGGAGTAGCGCTCGCCCGGGATGCGCACGAAGTCTGGGACCACCAGACCCAACCACGCGAGCATGCAAATGCGCCCGTGCTTGAGCTCCGCCTCGCGGAACCAGGGCACGAACTCCGTGTAGCGCGAGAAGCCCGCGGGGTCGAACTCGTATCGGCCCCACGCGCCCTCGGCCCCCACCAGGCCCTGCGCGAACTGGCCTGCACGTGATCGAGAAACAGAACACGAGCCTGCTCTCCGGACGTCCCTGGCAGGTGCCGCCCCGCTTCCCTGGCGCGAAGGCCCCGAGGGGGCGGCCCAGAGGACCAACAGAAGGAAAGAATTGAGAGGCGTTCGACCTCCATCCTGCATTTTTGTTGTCCTCCATTCTGGGAACTTTTTCCCCAAACAGCTTGCTGAACGGGGTGCTGTTGTGATAGAAACTGATTGTGGCCGGGGAACGGTCCAGCAGAGACATCCCATAGAAAGTTTGGTGGTCCTGGCTATTTCGCCTGAGACATCCTCACAAATCTCGTTTCTGAGTTGGCCGGGATTGGGCGTTTCGCCTGGGACATCCTTCCAGTTCTGAGCTCCGCAATGCCGAGCGCGAGGTGGTCCGGCGCGTTTCGCCTCAGAAGGGGGGAACCATGCTGGAGCAAATCGTGGAGATGCCTCGAGCAAGAGCGCGGCGAGCAGGTAGGAGGCAGGATGAGGGATGAGAAAGGGAAGAAGAAATCGCTCCGAGATGCCACGCGAAAATCGGTCCAGATCGTTTCGCCAGAGACATCCTTGCAGTTCCGGGTTCTGAAAAATGTGTTGTGCGCAAGGTGGTCTGCCCCGTTTCGCTTGAGATATCCTCGCAATTCGAAGCTCCGAGATGCTGCGGGCGAGGCGGTCAAGCCCGTTTCGCCTGAGACATCCTCGCAATTCGGGGCTCCGAGATGCTGTGCGCGAGGTGGTCCAGCCTGTCTCGCCTGAGACATCCTCGCAACTCCGGACCCATTTGATGATGTGCGCGGGGTGGTCCAGCTCGTTTCGCCTGAGACATCCTCGCGACTCTGGGCTTTCAGAAAATGTGCGCGAGGTGGTCTGGCGCATCTGGCTTGAAATATCCTCGCAACTGGGATCCGAGAGGCCGCGCCAGAGGTGGTGTGGCCCGTTTCGCCTGGCACATCCTGGAAACTCTGGGCTCCAAGAGGAAGGAAAGAGGAGCTATGAGGCGTCAGACCCAAAGGAACCATTTGATTACACTTCTTTTGTGAAATTGTGCTCTGGGAAAAATCTGGGCCCCTCTGGCCTGACGGAGGAGGTAGCCAGCGCCGAGGTGCGAGCGCGATTCCTTGGTAAGCTGCAAGGGCTCATCAGGAGGGAGCTATGCTGGAGCAAATCGTGAAGATGCCTCGGCTAGAGCGCGGCGAACAAGGAGGAGGCAAAATGGGGGAGGAGAAAGGGAGGAAGAAAGAGCTCCGAGATGCTGCTCGAGAAGAATAATGGAGGAGAGAGACGGGACCAGGCTCAAACGCTATCTGCTTGAATGCATATCTAACGAAGGTGCCTCCTGGAAACGGCATCGGGAATGCGAAAGCATTTTGGCATGGCGGAGGAAGCGGGGAACAGGAGGGAAGAGGAGGTGGAGGAGAAGAAGAAACATGAGAAGCAGGAGGACAACAATGAGGAGAAGGGGGAGAAGGAGCAGGAGGAGCAGGAGGGGGAAAAGGACGGGGAGAACGAGGAGGCGGGGGGGAGGAAGTGTAGTAGTAGTAGTAGTAGTAGTAGTAGTAGCAGCAGCAGCAGCAGCAGCAGCAGCAGCAGCAGCAGCAGCAGCAGTAGTAGTAGTAGTAGTAGTAGTAGTAGTAGTAGTAGTAGTAGTAGTAGTAGTAGTAGTAGTAGTAGTAGTAGTAGTAGTAGTAGTGATAGTAAAAGTAGTAAGTAGTAAAAGTAGAAGTAGTGGTGGTAGTAGTAGTAGTAGTAAAAGTAAAAGTAATAAAAGTAGTAGTAGTAGTAGTAGTAGTAGTAGTAGTAGTAGTAGTAGTAGTAGTAGTAGTAATAGTACGAGTCGTAGTAGTACGAGTCGTCGTAGAAGTGGTGGTAGTAGTAGTAGTAGTAGTAGTAGTAGTAGTAGTAGTAGTAGTAGTAGTATTAGTAGTAGTAGTAGTAGTAGTAGTAGTAGTAGTAGTAGTTAGTAGTAGTCAGTCGTAGTAGTAGTAGTAGTAGTAGTAGTAGTAGTAGTAGTGTAGTAGTAGTAGTAGTAGTCGTAGTAGTAGTCGTAGTAGTAGTCGTAGTAGTAGTAGTAGTAGTATAGTAGTAGTAGTAGTAGTAGTATAGTAGTAGTAGTAGTAGTAGTAGTAGTAGTAGTAGTAGTAGTAGTAGTAGTAGTAGTAGTAGTAGTAGTAGTAGTAGTAGTAGTCGTAGTAGTAGTAGTAGTAGTAGTAGTAGTAGTAGTAGTAGTAGTAGTAGTAGTAGTAGTAGTAGTAGTAGTAGTAGTAGTAGTAGTAGTAGTAGTAGTAGTACTAGTAGTAGTAGTAGTAGTACTAGTAGTAGTAGTAGTAGTAGTAGTAGTAGTAGTAGTAGTAGTAGTAGTAGTAGTAGTAGTAGTAGTAGTAGTAGTAGTAGTAGTAGTAGTAGTAGTAGTAGTAGTCGTAGTAGTAGTAGTAGTAGTAGTAGTAGTAGTAGTAGTAGTAGTAGTAGTAGTAGTAGTAGTAGTAGTAGTAGTAGTAGTAGTAGTAGTAGTAGTAGTCCCCCCAAGGCTCTGGGGAGCCTGTGGGCGGGGGGGCTACTGCTGCCCTCAAACCGCGGGTGGCAGCCACCCTTCCTTTTCTCGTGCCCTTACCGTTGCGCACACTCTTCCTTGCCCTAAAGGGAGGTCCCGGGATGGCGGCGGCCGCTGGCGGCGCTGCGGACGATGGTGCAGGGGCTCGAGTGGCCGGGAATAAAAAGACGCGGCGGCCCGAGGTGAAGGCGGTGCGCTGGCAGCCGCAGCGGGTAGCGGAGGTGCCGGGGCCGCCCCGTGCGCCTCCGCTGCCGCACTCGCATCGGCCGATGCAAGCGCTCCAGAAGTCCCAGTGGACGGCGGCACCGACGTCCACATGCGGGACAACGAAGGTCAGCCGGCGCAGCGACGGCGCCGCATGACGGGAGGACGTATCACTCGCTGGTGCGTCAGCGCCCAGGCGACCCGCGGCAAGCAAGCCCACTGCACCCGCTGCATGGGAGGCTTCGAGGCGGGCGAGCGGCGTGTGGCAGGCGTCGCGACGCGCCCCGTGGGCTCCCAGGCGCACGCGGGCAAGAAGTGGTTCCACATGACCTGCGTGGACGGCCCCTTGCCACCAGCGACGGCGATGGAGGGCTACACGCAGCTCCCCGGGGGCGACAGGGAACGCCTCACAGCTGCTCTGGAGGCCCGAGGCGGCCCCATCTTGCCCCTGCTGGGGACGGTCGAAGGCCAGGTGCCCACTCCTCCCTCCCGGGGAGACGGCGCGGCAAGGGGTGCTGGGGTCGCCCCGAGGCTCCCTGCCGCCGCCGCGCCAGGGGCGTATGGTCCAGGCTCCCGTGGGGCTCCCCCGGTGGCAGCCGAGGCGGAGGCGCCGTCTCCCGCGGACATCCTACAGCCGCCCCTTGACGCCCCCGCGGCCGCGGACGACGACGGGGGGCTCGAAGCAGGCGTCTACGATGACTACCTGGACGACCAGGTGGCTGACGAAGATGCGTACCATGAGATTCGGTTTGTCAACCTGGATTGGTGGGACACCATCGGGTGGGACCGCATCCTGCTACAGGGCGCGCCCACCACGGCCATGATCCCTGACAGCATGGCCGCCGCGGTTAGCCACGTCAAGGTGCGGCTGTGCCTGGCGATCGAGCAGGCCCGCCAGGGCGGTGACGACCTGGCGTCGCGCACGCTGACGCGTTTGTGGAAGGTGTTCTTAGCTCTGGACGGGCTGCTCTTCAGCGAGAGCGCGACCCCGACCCCGACGACGCGACGAGAACGCCTCCAGGAGCGTTTGCAGTGGATCCAGGACGGCCAATGGGATGTCGCCTGGCTCTCCATGGAGGACCAGACGCGCACCTCGGTCACCGCGAAGGGCCGCGAAGACCGCGTCGCGGCCCGCGTTCGCCGTGTCACTGAGCTCGCGCGAGCGGGCGAAATGTCTCGGGCGGCAGCGGCAGTGTGGCCCCAGGGTGATATGGCGGACGCGACGGCGGTGGTTCGGAAGTTTAGCACCGCCCAGCAGCCTGCGGCGCCTCGCCCAGGCGAATGGGGCCCTCCCCCCGGCACTGGGGCCGCCCCGCACGGGCCAGGGGGGGGGGCCCCCGCGGCGGGGGCCGACGTGGCGATGCCGCCAGCCACGCCCCCTCACGAGCTCCTCGGTGCGGCAGAGTTACACCGCCGCGTGGCCAACCACCTCAAGCGCCAGTTTGGTCGCTTCCCTCGCCGAGGCGGTGCGGGACCTGGAGGCGGACGCTACGAGCACTGGGCTCCGCTCAAGCACGACGAAGACGGAGCGGAGGCGGTAGCCAACACGCTGGCGCGCCTAGCCATCGGTGACCTTCCTCCAGAAGCTCTAGCCGCCCTGACCGCGGCGCGCCTCGCAGGCATCCCCAAGGCCACCCCTGGGGACGCGCGAGTCTTGAGCTGCGGGAATGTCACCCGCCGCACGGTGGGCCGCAGCGCGGCCAAGGTCCATCACAAGGACATGCGGGCGGCGGTGGGGGACCAACAATTCGGCCTGGCTAAGGGCGGCTGCGGTGCCCTCCACCGACGCCTCTGTACGATGGCCAACTCGAGCCCTGGCAAGTGGGTGGTGGCGGTGGACCTCGGGGATGCGTTCAGCAACATCCCCCGTGACCTCGTTAAGGAGGCCGTGCGCTCCAAGGTGCCCGCCCTGGCGCCGCTGGCGGAGGCCTGGCCCCCTGCTCGCGCACGCCACGCGGCGGGCGGCGGGTCCCAACCTGCCCGGCTGGTCGACCAGATCCGCGGCTTCGACCAGGGCTGCCCGATGAGCCCTGGCTTCTACGCGGTCGGCACTGCGGATGACCTCAGCATCGGTCGCATGGCCGTGCGCGCGGTGGACGTCGAGGGGGACTACCTGGCGTTCTTGGACGACGCGTACTTCGTGGGCACCGCGGCTGCGGCGTTCCGCGGCTTGGATGCCTGGCGAGCCCGCGTCGAAGCCCATGGGATGAAGCTGAAGATGTCCAAGGCCCAGATCTGGTCCCCGGA